CCAACAGTTGGGTTAGTCCATATTTGACCCAACATTGGGTTGAAACAACCCAGCATTTTTTAGAGTGTGTGATTAATGTGAGTGTGAAATGTGTCAATTTTCTAAAAGTGCCCGTAGATAAAGAAACGCCAGTAAAATGTTCTCTTTTTTAAATAAATCATATAATATAAGTGAAAAGGAAAACAGAATACTTTGGGTTACATCAATTAAAGTTGTAAGGGTCAAGTAAGGTTAATGTGTATTAAACAGTTAAATTGTTCAGGTCTAAGATGTTCAAAATTCTCAATGTGTTCTTGAATCTGTTTATTTTTATTTCAGATAATGACCCCATTAAGGTCCAATTCTCACTATTAACTATACAGTCAGTGAGCTGTTAACCTCAAAACTGCTGCAGCCTGATTAGTGAGTCAGTGAGTTGAACTTGTTCTTTTAGTGGAACCAGTTGTTCTGATTCATATATCAGGATTTGTTCACAATTCAGTGACTCAGTCATCTGGTCACAGCAGTCCTTTGGTAACAACTCACTGAAGGGGAAGATTGTTAATAAATAACAAATTGTAGTCTGTTCTTCACAAATTTTCATTTTGTGTGAAATGTTTGACGTGCTTGACATTGGTAAAGATATTGGACTGACCCAATGTTTAGCCCTAGATATACAATACTATGGCCAAACTTTTATTCAACAAGGATGCATTAAATTCATCAAAAGTGTTTTTTTGTTTGTTTTTTTTACTCTCTATTCCTCAAACAATCCTAAAAATTTCATCTGGTAACACGGCGCACATTCGACCGCAACCCCTCGACAACCGGTTAATTGACTTCAGGCTGGTGAGATGCTTTGAGCAGGGAAAAAGCAACAAATAGACTTACATTTTAGGGTTCAGCTACGGATAGTTGTGACAGCCTTTTACCTCTTCCTGACACAAAGTTTGGCTTAAGCTCACAAACTATATATCTCTCTAACAAAGAGACATCTGTCGCTGCTCCCTCTCCGAGCGTGAGAGGATGAAGAGAAGATGATCTCGTCACACGCGAGCCGTTGAAACGCTTATTATGTAACTGTGGAGGGTCCGCAGCTGCAATGAATCTGTGTGCTCTGTAAACCTGAATGTCCCTCTTCACATCTCATCAATTGATCTGTTATGAAACTTTGGAAATAAAGCCTTTCTGCAATGCCAAGGCTCATTTAAAAGAAAAAACAGTGTGATAATTTTCTTGTTTGACACCTTTTGCATAAATTCATACAACAAATAAATGGAAGCGAATGGTAGTTTAAAATGTTATTTTATTATTTCTGTTATTTTTTTTGTCTTTCAGTTCATGACACTCATTCAGGAAGTGAAACATGATCGAGTTCTTGAACAGAGTGAGATTGACATATTAGGAGTCATTTAGCTGAATTATTAAATTTCGCCTGGCACAGATGATCCAGTTGGAAATGTATCTGGAAAACCTCTGCTCCTATTATTTGTTTAAAGCTCAAATTACAGGAGCAGCTTTCCTCCATAGTCTTTAGATCTTGCCAGATAATGAAAATTGTTCTGAGGAGTATGATCTGTTCAGTCTTCGAAAGCGTTCTTGGTCTTAAGGGGCTTAACTCCGGTTCCTGCTGAACTGACAGGAGGTTGAACCCAGTGCTGTACCTCACCCTGGCCTTTTCCAGTTTCAAGGTTCTCTACAAAGCTCCATGTTTCCCTTTTGATTGATCATAAGTCCATATTATGAGCAGAGCTGGATAGCAGATTTATTAAGGATGTAAATCATTGAAAGTATTGCATTAGAGTCAAGTATTGGCACAATAAATAACTGAAAAAAAGATGTGCTTGGCCGTGAAAATAGTCAGTATGTAAACATCAAATATACCTTGAATATCCGCCCATCTGTTTGGTCACAAATAGGTAAATATTTTCATTTCATAAATTCATAAATAATTCGATTAAAACACACACACACACACACAAAATAAAAGCACAAAAGAACATAGTGGACAGTGGGGTCCAAAAGTATGAGCCCTTCAGTTATAAAATGCTTCTATTTTGTTAATTGCTTTTAATGTTTATAGACTGTGAAAAATCTGTAAAAAATAGGGCACAATGTACTTTATTAAAATTAAGGAATTAAATATTTCCATATTGATTTTTTTTTACCGGTGTTTTACCCAGATTTAGAATTTTGCACTTCATTGCATTGTGTTTTATGGTTAACGGATATGTTCGTAAAATTAATGGCTAATATTCTGGCAGAAAATTACCAGTACTTTTTACTTTTTTTTTTTTTTTACAGTTTATATTGTACATTGATTGACAGAAACGTAAAGGGGTGGAAGTTCAGCACTGTCTTTGCTCCATTCATTTATGTTGAATAGTGCTCTGGCTTAACGCCAGCTTGACCAGACCACCCTGTCTGACCGGGAGGGTGGGTCTGAGGATTACACTGTGACTTCTTTCCCTGGTGGGTCATTTCCCGTAGTTCCTCTGGATCAGGTTTGTGTCCTTTTTCCAGTTTGCTAAAGCATGGCCAGCCGTCATGTTTGTGTTCTCACTTCTTGGCTGATTTTGAGTGTGGGCCTCAGAGGAACGGAACTTAGCCACTGTGAACATAGGATATGTGAGATCTGTTCACAGAGTGAGCTAAGTTCTGCACCTCACGAAACTTCTTCAGACATAAAATCCAGATGTTCTCCAAAACATTGCCCCAATTATCATCAAATTTGACAACAAAAATCAGTGTATTAACATTATAATTTTTTTTTTTAATTCTAAATTTTATATTTATCTTTAATTGGTACTGACATGTGTATTGTGTTTATACACAAAGATATATGGGTGTTTCTTAAGCTTTGGGCATTTTTATATCCATGTGGTTCATTTAAAAAAATTATATAT